GGTTGGATTACAAATATTAATTGGAATGTCATGTGATGTGAGATACTTATGATTATGTGGATGACCTAAGGCAAGGGCGGATCCACATTGGGGAAAAGGGGTCAAGTGACCCCTGCGAACCATAAACCATGGCCTGGGGAGAAGAAATGTGACCCCTGAAATGGCTGGATGGTTAGCCAAAGAAACTGTTTGTACCATATTTGGAAAATGGGCCAAAAATGATTTTATTTCTCAAATAAGATTTATTAAACCCAAGCCCAACCTTTTTCTTATAGAAACGACGAAAAGGGCTTTTCGGATTTGGGCCAGCAGTGGGCGAAACACTCTCAAAAGTCTGTAGTACGAAAAGACTCCAGTTTTGGTCCACACTAAAGTTAAGAAAATGGGTAACCGTTGCATATCAACCCACGTGAGGGTCTGAAGAGAGGTTATCACCACTAATGACGACTTGACCATCATTTCTCCGAATAAGAAAGCAAGCTGGATAATAGACGCCAGAACCGGAAGGAACAGATAACCAACTGGATTTCCAGCTACGAAAGGACACAGCTCTGAGAGGCATCCCTTAAGACCAGTAGTTTCATCTAAGATATCCTTTCCTCCTACCTATGAATCGGTTCACAAGGACAGACCAACAACTGACTTTGGAAAATAGCCAAATATCCTCATACAGCCTTCATCATTAGAGATTCTTGCCTATAAATACAGAGGCTCTAAAGTAGCACAAGAGGACTCTCTCTCCAAAAACCAGACGCAATGTCTCAAAACATTTGAACAAACTTCAAGATATTTTCAAATAGCCAACTTACTGTTCAGATAACCAGTTGACAACTCCCGCGTTTATCTTTTGTTTGCTCTGCCATCTTCGTGGTATGATTCTTGTTGAAATAATCAGTTTGAATTTCTATAAACATATTTTATGTATAAATTAGATAGAGAAATCTCCAATTTCTTCCATATTGTAATTTGTATTTAAGAGCAGCTAAATGGAGAAATCTTTGGCTCTAGTTTCAACATGTCATTATACCAAAGTTGGATAGAGAAATCTTCAACATCTGGAACCTTTTTTGTTTTCTGAAATTTACTTTAGTTGCTTTTTAAATATCTATCGATTGTCTGCTTTATATATTCTCATATATCAATTTATCTTCCCGCGTTTATATATTTGAGTGTTTTCATTACTTAGACCCAAGGTAAGGGTCTTAGGCCCAAATAGGGCTTTATTAGCCTGAAGATAAGGGCCTGTCTGGGCTTGAATTACATCATTGGGCCCGAATTAGCCGTATCTCGACCCTATCTAAGGTCATTTGGGGTCCATGCTAGGTTTTTGAACCCGATTAAGGGAGCATTAACCACAACATTGGTTTTCTTCTTGTTTGATAAGGTATTGTCCATATCTATCAAGCTAGCAACGTACAAGTGAAAGAATATTGAAGTCCTCTTGATTGAGGCATAGAAAAGAACTCATCCAAGCCAATACCTCCCTTTGGAGCAGAATGGCTTGATTAGAAGTCCAGAACAAGCGCGACCCATCGAACAGATACCCCACATCATATATACTAGATCTATTGGGCTGGTCTCATATCCAATAGTGGCATGCCTATGCAACCAGCGATCAGGTCGAATGTAAGGCGTCTTCCTCACAAATGAAGAATTTACCCCACCAGAATGAAGACAACCAGGCTCAGACGTATCCTAATCCGACCAATACAAGGCCAGTAAACTCCATTAAAGCCGCAATGGTTCAAGATGGCAAGTGGTACCTAGTAGGAAAAGAGGGTTAGCATGAAAGAAAGTTAACTAATACCCAGGCTTGAAGGATCAAGAGGCAATACGGGAAAGCCAGAAGAAGCATGGAAGGCCAAATAGCTGATCTTGGCCTAAAGGCATTACCAATAGACTCTGATTTGAATCACAAGATAAAAGCCAGTTGACCGCAGGTTTCACCAAAACAGAAACTTCATCAACATCAGTTAGTCGACCAACCGCAGTGGTCTTGCACGATCAGTTTCAAACTACTTGAGAGAGGGATGAATTGGTTGAGCAGAGGTGAGGTGCCATAAGCTTCGCCTTCTCATTGTGAGTATAGATGATTGCTAAATACTTGTGACTCATGCTCATGTTGTTCCCCTTTTCCCTCTCTTATTATTTTTTTTTTTATCCACCCAGGTACCACCTCACTAGTACGCTTGCTACTGTGAGAAGCCTTAGGTTCCCGATGTGGTGAATGCTCTGAGGAAGCCTTTCCCTTTGCTATGGGAGGGCCACTTGCTGCCACCTTGGGGATGAACCTCTTCAGCTTCTTAACAGCTTGTTTTCTCTCTATGCCACAATCCTCCTCCCGCTATTGCCAAAACTAAAGGGAACACTCGCTCATGTAGGCAATGTGGAGAAAAATCACAGAAAATAAACCTCCCTAGCCATAACGATATAAGTGTGGCGAGTCGGCAAGGCTCCTCTCTGTTTGAATTCCCAAAATATTGAGGTCCGTAGCTTTTCATCCTTTCTTTGCTTCTTCTGCTTCTCAATTTTTTTTCTTTTGTTTTTCTTTTTAGCGAGGTCACATCTTCCAGCACCTTCCCATTCTAACATTTATCCTTATTTGGCCTTACAAGTCACATTTTTTTTAGCGAGGTCCGTAGCAGTTTTTCCTTTTGAAACCGCAGAGTGTATCGATCTTTAGCACAGTTGACTGCATTTAGGCTTGAGTTGTATCTTCTTTTTTTTGGAGAGCCTAAAGCTCATGTTGTTGGAACCTTGAAACATAGCATTGTTACATACTTTTTGCCAAAACTTTAATTTAGAATGCTTGAGATATTAAGTTTTGGCTTGTTTTGTACGCTTTGCTTGGTTGGAAATGATGAAATGCATGAATTGCTTGAGATTTTAGCAGGTTGTCTTGCTGGGTAGGAGGTGCCTTCTTTTATAGCCACCGGAACCCCCAATTTTATCAAGTCTTCTCATCCATTTTTCTTCAATTTCTTCCATTCAATCATCTTTGGTGAAATCTCCCCAACCCAAGCACATAGGAGCGGAGCTTTTTGGGGTTCCAAGACTTTCCTGCGGCTGGACTCCTTCATCTTGGTGAGGCGCCTCTTGCTTTTCTTTCTTGTTTTCCCACCAGAACTTGCAGAGGACAGAATGGGTAAGGGTGTTGGTCCAAAAGGTGATTTACTTTCATCAGCACATAGGTTTGCTTGGTTTTTACGATGGTTTGGCTTCGATTTGGTTTTAATAGGGATGTGGGATATTTTTTTTAAGGTGCTGGGCTATTTCTCTAAGGTGCTGGACGTTTTCTCTCTCATGCTTACCCATGTGGTTGGGCTCAAGAAATGGGCTTGAGTTTTGGTGCTTCCAAGCAGCCCAAAACTTCCACTCCTTGGACCATCAATGGGCCTCATGAACACTCGTAACCATCCATACCACAACCCGCTCAACAAGCCCCAAGCATTCACGTGGATTGGGCCCACTTAAGCTCGTAGAGTGGCTTGGTGCCAAAATAAAGACTTTTTCGCTCGGCGTTGCGTGTTATTTGGAGTGTTTGTGCTCAAACTTTTCCCATATTGTAATGGGCTATGGCCAGGCTAAAAGGTGCTTGACAGGACAATAAGCGCGGGTTCGTGGAACCAGTACATTTTACAGGCTTGTTATAACCTCCCTGCGTGGCTAGTTGCTTATTTGCTTGGCTCGGCACGTGGACCATGACTTTTGCAAGCGCATACGACAAATTCTTGCGTACTCTGGTCAGACTCCTTTCTCAGTTAAGTGTTGTACTGGGCTAGAAATATATTTGGACCAAGCCTTGGATTTTTTTGGCCTTAACAATACCTATGAAACAACAATCAATCTTAGTTTAGAAAACTTGTATAAAATCTTAATATATGTATGTGGGTTTCTATTTTATTTTTGAAATTTCAAGGAGTTCACTTTGATCGTTTTGAGTTAAACTATATCTCTAAAAAGTATTGCATACATGTCATCTAATAGAACAACCAAGTTGGCTTTCCTTCTATTCCAAATTAGGCGTGATTTTGGGGATTCCAATGCTTGGGGGCTTTCAGTGCTCGAGTTTGATGAGTACAACCACTTTTTGAACCTCCGAATGAAGAATTTTCCACCCACAATATGAATCCTTTATCAATTGAATTAAATCCAAACTCAGAAATTAAAATGTTTTAAGAACCCTAATCCCCAAAAATCCCAAAATTAAGCCTGAATTAAAATGGAAGGAGAGCCAGCTTGACGGAAACCACACATGAGGGGCACATGTTCAAAACGTGACGATGGTGAGATAGATTTGATAGAAATTGACAAGTGTCCTTGAATTGCTTGAAATTAGAAATTAAATGGACAAAATTGAAAAAATTGAAACGAAATGGACAAAGAGGTAAAGTAGCACTAGTAAACTAAATGGAACAAAAGTAACATTTTTTTTATAAAAAAAACCTCTTTGACTGTTTTACCAAAATGGTGTTTGGAATTCGGTTAGAACTTATGGCATGTTTACTAATCCGTAATTGAAATCAAAATAAGGAGGAGTTGAATTCCTATTACAGATACTTGTGTGTTTATTTCACATGGAGGAATCAAAATGCGAGTGAGACCCACACAAAATCAAGAATTCAACTCCTGATGTTGGAGGAATTGGACTCTTGAGTGGGAGGCGATATTCTAATTCATAAAGAACTAACTCATTAAGAATTCATCTTTTTTATCCATTTTAACAGTTTAATTTAGCGTACTGGTCTTTGGTCATACACAGGCACATGTCCAGCTTTGTCTAGGTAAGGCTGGAGCCCGACGCAAAATTTTGAAAAAGTTTCATTACCCATTCAGCCCAGCTGTCCAAAAAATATACATAAAGCCCAACCAATACTTATATAGCCTAGCCCAATCACAAAAGCTTGGAAAACTGTTAACATTTATATAATTTGGGAATACAGCCCAGGTGTTTAACATATTATATATAATTTGGGAATTATCATTACAACTGTCGAAATTTTAAAAGAATTTTTCCACGAAAAATTGGCTTAAAAATTAGCCCTGGTAATTTTTGATTCCCGGGTCCGTGCCTGGTCATACATAACCACAGAGCAGGAGAGCATCAGAGTTTTTCGATCATTCCAAGTTGACGAAATGGATTGGGGTTTTGTACATAAAGCTTGGGACAAGTGGGCTTCTCCCAATATCGGCTCTGGTGAGTGCCGCCTGCGGAGCCTCGCCTGTCTGTGCATATGTTCCCGATAAGTCTGTATATTTTGGTTTTCATGCATTGAAATGTTGCAGATAAGCCATTAAAAGCAGCTATATTGATCAACTATGACCCAACTGGTCCATCTCGCTTGTTGTCTACTATGTAAGTCAGATTCAAATTCAAATTCATGCGCCCTTTTGATATTTTTTGTTTTTTGTTTTTGGGTTTTGGCAATGGACCTATGTTCAAGCAAGATTGTAGTATAATACGTCTTTCTGATGGGTTCAATTTAAAGGTTACAAGTCCAAATTGTTCATCCTATTCCAGAGATTAATTGATGCTTGTGTACAATTGATTTCAAATTTTGTATTTATAGTTGAATCTTCAGCTTATGAATTATCTTTATAAAGTAAAAGTGGGAAGGGGCAGTCTATAGAAGGAGAGGACAATGTGGTTAACTGAAATGGTTTTGTTTGGTTAAAATATTGGACTCTTTATTTTGGGGGCTAGTTTTAGGATATGTTTAGTAAAACTTTTGCTAGTGTCATGAGCAGGGGTTGATTATTACCTCTGCAACTTTTCTTTACTTTCTTTAATATCATTACACTAGTAAAGCCCAGCTTTTGATGACTTTGATAAGTGGGTTACCTGTTCTGGAAGGATCAGGTTTAAAGCATCTTGTTTGGTGTTTCTAATATAGATGAGTTAACATAAGGCATGTGATATTTGAGGGGAGAATTGGTAATGTTATCATTCTGCATTCCGATTCCATCCTTCTCTCTCAATGTGAGTGTCATGCTATATGTGTTGACCTTTCACAAAGTTGGCATTATACTTTCAGGAACCTTTGTCTTCGTAGCTTTCAGGAAAATTGCTTTCTTTCCTCTGTAGTCTAGATTTCAAAGTGGTTTTCAACAACCGTGCTTCATATTCCCTCCAACCCCAATTTAGGTTTTATCTTTGAGATATGTATGATGTTTGAGCCATAGGCTTGTTTCAGGTCTATACTTTTGGACCACTCAACAGGTACAGACATTATGTCGTGTTGTAAAATTTTAGATTGATTTGAGTTGACTTCTTACCTTGATCATCGTTCCTTCTTCAGCACTAATAACTCAATCTTTTTGCTCTTTTGCCCTTCTTCACCATTAATTCATTTGCTGCACCTGCTCATTTTTTATTTTCAAGGAAAAACAAAAATAATGAAAAAGATATGTGAATTACCCACTTTGCTACTTTATCCATTATTACATTTATAAGTTCAAATGTTATGGATTAATCCAAAAAAATATCCCTCATAGAACTTTTTATATGGCCTATTTCCTATATGCATATATGTATGGAGGAAATTCATTGGGAAATTTAGTTTGATGGTGCCTGTGGTTAATAGTCAAATTGGAAGTTGATATGTGCAAATAGGTTTTGCTACATGTTACTTTTGTTACATATATATATCAAGATGCTACGGTTCTCTTCTCATGGATGTATTTTAGATGCTTCTAGATGTATTTGGGGTATAAATTTGAATTTTCATAACACAAAGAAGAGTCTTAATGAAAGTTTTGAGCTCTGAAGAGGAAATGCAAGGATTAGAAACTTCTCATGACAGGCAGTGATACCAATTGAATATCGGGAAAAGCCTGAGATTGGGGCTGATGATGAGCCAATTATTAAACAAGGGAAAAATAAGGAAGATAAATATCATTTTTGTTAAGTTCATCGACTGCAGATGAAAAGTGAATGAAGCAATAGTACTGATCTTCTTGATAGTTGGTATCAAGCTGTGCAGCATAGTTGTCAAACAGTCTACTCTCTAGTGAAGTTTTCCAAGAGTTGTGAATTTTTATTTTACATATATACGATTTTTATTATTATTGTCATTATTATTTGGCTATTTAGGTTAAAATTTTCCCCAAAGTGGTTAATAGTGTTTTAAATTCTGAGATAAAATCCTAATTTTAAAGTAAAAATGTTGCTTTTTCATGTTTTATATGCTTGAGATCCACGTAAACCAGTCTACCAAGAGTTGCATCAATTTGGAGTTCAGACTAAAACTCAATACATATTGTTGAATGCTTAAAAAACTGGGCTTGCATGTCAATATGCTTACATTCAAGTTTGCATGTCATGTTTTGTATGTGTACCTTCTTTCAGAAATAATGAGAGGGAACAGTAACCATTACGTCTATAGTTGCTTTCTGCTTAATTTGGCCAAGAGAAAATTTTACTTAAATGTATGATGCTTATCACTTTGTTCTGTTTGGAAGCACTGTACTGAAGGTTGATTGTATGCATGCAGCGCAGAAGAAGAAGGGATAAAAGTGAATCCCATCGAATTGAGTCAATTCATTGATTTCATCAAATGTGACAAGCTCCAGACTGAGAGCTTCATTATTGGACCAAACCAATGTAAGTTCTTAATGTGGCTGCAATTACCACAATTACTTTGTTTAATAAGTAATAACTGTCTGTTTAACTGGAGGATTTGGAGGGGCATATGGTTTTGTATTCCTTAATTACATTTTTTAGGGATTTAAAGTGGCCTTATATGGTACTACTGAATCCTGTAAAGTTGTCTTTCAGTTTAGATCATGAAATTTTACAGCAGGTTTTCAATATCTTGATAATGTGTGTTCTTTCACTACAATAAATGAGCTTTTGATGACAACAGGAAACTGCTGCAGAAATGCAAAAAAGGTTGCACATATTATGACCGATGTTGCATCAGTTCATGAGAACTGCTCATATATGCATCTTAGGACTGATTTGCTTGTATATGCGTCTTGTTTTTTTACGGCTCCTATATGCATCCTACAGATCCCATCTACAATGATTTATGCTTTGAGATCTAATTGTGGTAAGTTTTACTAGATCTAATATTATGACAGATGTAGTCACATCAATTCATGAGAATTGGTTCTGTGCAAGGTGCATGAACACATCAAAATCTACTGGTGAAGGCGCTATCGTTATGCATACAGCAGCATTTCTCTTGGTTGCATTGTAAGCACTTACCGTCTGTAATTTTTACTTTAAGCACTGAAATGAGGTTTGGGATGTGACTGTAATATATACAGAATGAGAAACTCAAATAATGTATATTTTTCAAGAGATTTGTGATAATTTGTTGTGAATTATAATTTATTCATGCAGGTACGATGGTTCTATTGGCTCAGCATCTCGTGCTATGGTGGCTGTTGATCAGTTTGCGTGGCAATTAACTCGAAAGAATCTGTAACATTGTCAAAAAGATAGTGTAAGTTTAAGTGTGAAATTCTCTGGCACCTTGAATATGTCTTGATTAATTATTCTGTTTTATTTTTCATTACTTGCCACTATTATTATGTTGCCACAATAATTATAATAATTTTATCATTATGCTTACTGATGCAGGGCAGTAGTGATAAGCTGCTGTCCAGCGCCTAAAACAGTGCCAAACCACAGTAGAAATGGAATCCCAGCGATAAACAACACAGAACATAGATGGATAAAGTGAAGTTGGAACTAAGATAATTGAGTTGTGGTCCAAAGACACCCCAGAGGAACTCTATATTCTGTCATTTCTGAATAAAGTTGTTAAAAGACCCTTATTACAACTGTTAACTAGGCTTATATATTAGCCATCAGACCCTAACAAAATGGAAAACCTAATTGACAAAGGAAATTAAACCAAATCCTAACTGGAATAGGAAAACTATAATATCAAAAGTAACCCTAGCCCAATCGACCATCGGGCTACTTAGACCTGGAATGCCCATTAGATGCTCTTGCATCACTTACTCAGTCATATCTTTATTAATATGTGATATGGAAATATAATCGGATTTGACATTGAGGCAACAAAAGCTAATACAGTTCCTGCTAACAAAATCAGGCTGTTCATTTCAAACAGCTGATGGTGCAATGAAGCTCAAATATTTTGTGACTGTAAATACTACGTGTACCTTTCTTATACATGCTCAAATTGCCATGTTTTGTCATCATCACATGCTCAAACTTCCATGCTCAACCCCAGTAACTCTGGTATGATGCAACATAGGTTAGAAATAATACCAGCATCAATTGATTCAACAAGCCTTTGGACATTCCCTCCAAAAAAAAAGACTCTTAGAACGTGATATTGTCACCGAAATATTATTGTAAAATCGAAGAATGCATCAATTAGGCAACACTTTTCACTCTGGAACCTTGAAAATTCTTTATGCGTGTTCAAATCGATGATGCTTTTATCACCACCCTTTTTTAAGTTTACCATGCTTGTTTGAAGTCCGACTGCTATGTTATAGGGCTTGGGAATATAATTTCTGCTTATGTTTTATTCAAGTTACAAACAATGTATGGTACATGGTATTGGCATCATATAGTTCAACAAGCCCAGAGATGATAATGATCACACCAGAGTTGTCACAAAATCATGAAAGAAATTACTCTTCTAATCATAACGTGCTTTCTTTGCTATTGTAGGTACTAGGTTGCTTAAAAGAAGGCTTATAAGATGCAATGCATCCAATTTGAATGAAAATGGTTCACCCTGGAGTTGCCCTTTTCGTCTTGTTCTATGCTGCTAATGCAAAGATCCTACTGGCAAAGGTGCTGTTATCTGAAAATTGCAAGCCTTGGAAGAAACCAAATTGAATGTTAAATTGATTTGGTGGGATGGGCATAGGATTTATTCTTATTTATTCTTATTTTAACAGAACAAAAATTATGAGGATCCTTTGAGATCCCAATATTTCAACTATCATATAAGATCCTTTTAAGGCTACCAAATGAGTTACATGATTAAACCAAATACAAAGATTTAAAAGTAGATGACCATTGTTGAGGCCCAAAAAATCCACAGTTGGGTCCAAATAAATTCTCATCTCAGTACAACACCTTATTGAGGAAAAACCCGACTTGGAACACACAAAAGTCCGCCATGCACGAGTCACACTCCACGTGCCATGCTAAATAAATAATCCGTTATGCTAGGAATCAAGATTAAGATTATAAAGTGCATTAGCTCTGCAATTCCATGCTAATTATCCCATCAAGCATAATGATTAAAAGCATGTCAAGCGATATGCCATGCCAAGCAAAAAATCATTATTACACACCCAAGCACGCTACACGCCTAAGTGGGCCCAAGCCACTCGAATGCTTCATATCTGATCATGAAAGAGGGAAGGAAAGAGAGGAAGGGGGATATATGAAAATAGGAATTCTTCCCTAGGGCAGCTGCGGGAAAGGGACCTTGAGCTCCCAAAATCCCTAATTTTGTGCAAAGGAGTAGAGTAGATTTCCCCAAAATAGGATGATTGAAGGGATGAGGGGAGAAAGGAAGGGAAAGACTTGGCAAAATGGGATGGAAGCCATTAGGGTTTCTTGGGAAAAGATGGTTTCCAGCTGCTATAAATAGGACCTCTTCTACCCAACGAAAATCAATCCACAACCAGAGAGCAAGCTTCCTCTCTTACTTTCAAAACCAACAATTTTGGTGCTTAGTTCATCTCCTTCCTCAGTTTTCCCTCTTGCCATGCTATTCTGACATATGACAGAGTCACTGTCAAGCTGCCGGAAACAGCACTCAAGCTACCCTTTTCTTTCTTTCCCCCATTTTCAACCAAACCTCTCTTCAAAATCCTTCCTCTTAATACCCATATTTCCCCCAGGAACACTTAATTCTCTTTTTAGTTCTAAACTCATGACAACTTTGCTCCCATGCCACAAGCTTCTCATGCCAAGCTAAGATTATACCTGTAAGCACTAAGAATTTATCTGTAAGCAGCCATTATTTTTTGTTGGTGAAAGTAACCAAGGTGTTTCCTAAGGCTTTGCTATCCTTTCGAAACATTTTGGGGTTTGATCTTTGAACTCAAACACAGTGGATATTTTCTTCAGTTTTCTCCTTACGGCAGCCCAGGCCCGCAGTAGCTGCCGGAACGAAAAAGCCCCTACAACCATGATTGGCGAGCGCATCTGCCGTTATATTGCATCTTTTCTTCTTCTTTTTAGTCATTTGCTAGGTAGGGGGAAGGGGAGTAATATATTGGGTTGCCTCAAGATTGTCTCCAACGCGAATCGAACCCGGGTGCACTTGTAAGGGGGGAGAGGAGAGTTTGGCCCACTTTTCAATTGTGGTGCCACCCATGTGCTTATATTGCCTTAGCTAAACCCTACGTTGAATTTTTTACCACACAAAAAAATATTTATAAAAATTAAATAAATAAATAAATAAAACACGCCTATGTTGAATGAAGCGAGTGTTTTAATAAGAATATGTGAATCACCTCCAATACAAATATTTGTTAATCCACCATTTGAAACTTCAAATAGCGACTGACAGCAAATTTCTTTGCACCAGCCTCTTCTGTATCATATTTTTTCTGAAGTGCATCCCACAAATCTTTAGCAGTGTTTCAACGAATAAGAGAGTATTGTGTAAAATGAAAAATCCAATACCGACACTCTAAAACTAATGAATTTTGTTTTCTATAGAATTAATAACATTTTCGATAGAAAAGTAATTTAATAGTGGCTATTATTTTTTTCCAATTTTTGTTTGCATCTTTTTGGTAAGCAGAAAAAAAAACAATTGCTAAGAAAAGTATGGCAACAATTTAATACTTGAAAGATGTTGCATTTGCTCCTTGTCTCCGCTTGATGCCTTCACATCATCCTTGTCTTGTAACTCCTAACATATGTGGTCTTTTTTTTTTTCATGTTGGTGCTTCAACGTTAAAAATGTGTATATTTCTTTACCATTATCATCTACCGCTCTAAACTATGCTCATTTAGGACTATTTTTTTTAGGAAGCACTTCTACCAAAAATGCTTTTATTATATAGATGTTGACATTTTCATGAGAAATCTATGTAGAAGTGCTAGAAAGCACTTGTATGTGTTGGTGCATAAATTGAATTAAGAGAACAATATTACCCGAAAAATACAATATGTAGCTATGAACAATTCTTGGGATGAGTCGCGGACTAAGTCGCTCTCTTTAAGACGTTTCGCGGCTCTGCCCAATTTGTGCAAGCAGTTCAGAAAAGGCCACTACGTCCCCAGGATAAAACAGCCCCAGAATCTCCTCTGTCTAGGTTCTTCCTTGCACTGAGGAAGGACCCGAATACAAACACCTTTCTATGTTGCTCAGAAAACTTAGTTTAGAAAATAAGAAAACTATATGAAGAGGAAGAAGGCAGCAGCTATCGTCTCTGTCTCTTTTCTATCTATATCAGATATATATACAAGGTATATCACAAAAGAAAGGTTGGTGGGCTTTAAAGACAGCAAATGCATCAGTTAAAAAACCAGCCCAAATTTAATAGCAAATAACTCCTATTAATAAAGATAATTTAAGGCAATTATTGAATTATTGAATATATATAATTTTTAAAAATAAACATACCAATTTCAACAGTTAAAGCAATCCCATGGCTAATGTGACACAATTAAAGCAAAAATTAGATGGCGTTCATAGTAAAATTCCACCCATGATTGAGATTGGTCATGGCGAGTCAACCAAAGCCCCTTAGATAGAGGGTTATGAGCATCCAGTTCAACTCGTATATGAAAATAACCCCTTACCCCCACCAGGTTGGTCAAGATCTTCAAAGGTGATTGATTAGCCTGCAAAATGTTGACCAATAAGGGGAGTAGTTTTTCCATTCATTTGTCCAAGAGGGACCCTATGAGCTTGAACACAGAAATAAATCAGGTTTGAATCTAGTTCTTCAATAGCAAGATGTAACGGCCAATATTGAACACTGAAGGCAAACCCCATAATTGTCCATGGACCTCCATCGACAATTCTCCTGGCCGCCTCCTCATGTTGCACCTTAACGGAAAAAATTAAATCTTTGACATCCACTATTTGAACTTCACCAAAGGCTACCTAAGCACACTAGTCAGCATACGTTTAACAACCCCAATGTTTGGAGGTTTATCAGCAAACAAGGATCCAAAGACGTTAACCTTGTTGCTAAAATTGTGTAGACCTAGAGAATCCCCAATTTGGACAGCAAGTTGGTCAGTAGTTGAAAATTTTCTCTCCATCATAGGGAGAGACCCAAAGATATCAAGGAGAGTGAGAAAGAGAATAGATGAAAATCCAGACTAGATGATTATGAGTAGAGGGAAAGGGGCGGTGAAAAAATGGTGAAAAGGGGTAAGGACATAAAATTGGGTAATAACAAGCTTTTAAAGCTGGAGTGAGATAGTTTTGGTTTTTTTTTTGTTTTGTTTTGTTTTTGTTTTTATGGGCTAAAATGAAATAGAGGATTTTGGTGAGCAGGGCAGAAGTAGTAAACGATAAGGAGAATGGTTAAAGATGGATAGAAAAAGGATGTGGAATACCACCAAGGTATGGAGACTCTCACAAGGAGAGAGATGCTCTCAAGAATAGAGAGAAAAAACGTGTAATTCGGAAATTTTTGCACCTCTCATTCAGAAACTAGATTATTCAAACAATGTTTGTTTAATAAGCAACCTCTTCTCCTAGGAATATAACTAAAAGAAATAAGCTGAGAATGGGGTTAATTGATGAGCTACATTATTACAACTTCTAAGAACATAAAAGAAATCAACTGAAATATTCTCAGCCAGTAATTGTACATCTTGAAGATAAAATCAATTTTTATTGACATTTGACTCTTATTGCAGAATTTCTCTTAAGTTTCTTTTTGTCATATTTATCAAGATATAGTCTAACTACATTTTTATTTTTACTTTTAATACAAGTCTAAATTACAAGGGGATGGAATTGCCTCACTAGAAATCAACTGAAATATTCTCAGCCAGTAATTGTACATCTTGAAGATAAAATCAATTTTTATTGACATTTGACTCTTATTGTAGAATTTCTCTTAAGTTTCTTTTTGTCATATTTATCAAGATATAGTCTCACTACATTTTTATTTTTACTTTTAATACAAGTCTAAATTACAAGGGGACGGAATTGCCTCACTCACACACACACGCACTACTTAGGTGCCACTGATATAGAGATTCGAACTTGAGACCACTAATCAGCAAGTCAAATGCTTTTTCCATTAGTCTAGTGAAAAATTAGGACATCAATATCAACAAGCTTGTAAAAAATTATTATTCAGTATATGGCCCAAAGTTTCAGTCTCGGCCTGTTCTGGATTGAAAGAAGTCGGAGTTGGCCCAAGACTACCAAGTAGTATCCAGTTGCCCAAAAACCAATTTTGAATTGCACAAAAAGAGGCAGAGGGAACGCCACTCTCTCTGCTCTCATGTCGTCCTCTCAAAAAGAGTCCAAGACTAGACACAAATTTACTTCAACTTTAAACATAAACATAAAACAAGTTGCTTTGGCTTAAAACTTAAAAGCCTGAAAAAGGCCTTCGTCCCATTTCCGCATCTGCGATCTCTCTCTCCTCTCTCTCCTCTCTCTGCAACTGCAAGTAAGTTACTTGGTCTCAAAATTATTGCTTTTATTTTCCAAATGTAAATGTGATTGGAAACCAGATATTCCTGCTGCTGCAGCTTCTCCCGCTCCATGTATCCAGATCTCAAATGCGTGGTTCGTACTGTAATTTGAATCACATTTTGAGGGTGAAGTACTAAGGGCATTGGATTTGGAGGGGTGGGTAGAGCCGGGAAGGAGGGAGATGGGATCGGGTGGGAGCAAAGCGACGGCGTCTTCAACGTCGTCGTTTGGTGGCAATGGTCGGAGGCGTCGATCCAAATCTAAATTCAGCAGAGTGCTCAAGTTGTCTTGTCTGGGAACCACATCTCGATCCCACGATAGCGACAATGACGACCAGGTCCTTCTCTTTTTGCTTTAATTTCCATTTTATCCGTTCATTTCAAGTTCTTCATTATTTCTCTTTGGTTTTGAGCATCAATGTGGAAAATTGGTTGGTATAATTTCGGGTTTATTTAATTTTATTTGTGAAATGCGGCCAATAGACTTCAGTAACAAAAAGAGAAAAAAAAAAATTAATGAATACTTATTTCCTCTTTAATTTATGTTTGTTGTAATGGGTATCAGATTATCAGTTGGTGAGGTAATATTTAAAGAGATAAACTTGTCGCCGCTGTTTTAATTCAATAATATATTTTTGGGTCCCAAGTCTTTGTTTTGTTTGTTTGGTACTTTGCTCCCTTAGAGTTCTTTTGAAGAGTACAAGTTAACTTTTTTTTCAAATTTTTTGAATTGTATGCTTCTCAATTAGAACATTTATTGTCGAGGTTGGTATAGGAGTTACAAAGATGGAAAAGAAGATGGGAGAGTTGCATTTTCTTTTTAATAAATATTTTATAATTCTTATTGTTAAACCATTTTTTCGTTTGGTGTGTAGTGAAAAGATAGGAAAGAAAGGAGGATTCTTCTTGTAAAACATTGGTTATATTGCGTCAGTTCCTGTGCAGACCTAATTGAATGAATGTCCCACATGTAGAAGTTTCTTCCTAAAAAACATTGTAGCTATCTTGTCGAAGGGCCTGCCTTCCGTACACATAGGTTATCTTATACTAAGGAAAGTTTTCTCACAAAAGATGTATTGCAAAGATGGGCCTGCCTTCCGTACACATAGGTTATCTTATACATCACAAAATCACATCGTACTTTTCCAACTTTGATATTTATCCACGAGATCCCATGAATAACTCTTGTGACTGCAGGCTCACAGAAACCGTTAACTCTCTGTCCTGTGTACATTAAGGCTTTTTATCTGGGGAGTTCCCATTGTTGGGGCTATTATATTTCTTTATAATAAAAAGTTGATGCAGTATATGCCTCGTCACTTGGAACTTTCTTTGTCTATGGTTGCTTCTATGTTTCTGATACTAGACTTCACTTTTTCTCCTCTACCAAACGTATGTATATGGTGAATGTTTCTGATAGGTTGTTATTTAAAACTTTTATTTATTTATATTGCTGGTGTGCAGTTAATTGGCCAAAAATTATTTAAGGAACTGAAGTGTGTAACTCATGCTTTAGGTATGTGATCATCAGAACAAAGAAACTAGAAATAATGCTCCATGCGCAAGTTTGAATGACACAGAGCCAGATCACGCAAAGGTTGAGTGTTTCAGAAAGGTTAATGTTGAACAACCTGATGAAATTCCATGTATATCTTCAAATGTTCAGCTCAATGAATGGGGTCAGGCTAGTATCACTGATACTGCCTCCAGAGCTGGTAGCAGCTCTGCTCAAGCTGCTGCTCCATCTTTGAACCCTTCAAGTCGTTTCCTTTCTCGTTTTAGTTTCATTCCAGGTAATGTAAGCTTCAGATTAAGCCGGGCAACCAGTTTAGGGTCATCCAATCCTCTATCTCCGACAAGTATCACAATACCGAACAACGAAGATGAACTTCATCTACATTCAAGACCTGCTAGAAGTTTTGTAAATAGAGATGAAAGCCAAGAAGCCAGTGACCTTCCACAGTCACAGATTAATAGGAGCGCAACACATTATTATGAAGAGACTTCTGACAATATAGGATTAAATACTCCGGGATGTGGTTTTTCTGACAACTTGCAAGATAACCAGACAAATTCTTCTAGACATGATGTTGGTAGAAATGCTAACGGTGGTGTAAACTTGTGTTCTCCAAGAAATCATAATGAACCAGGGAGCAACAGAACTAGACCTTCCGAAAGACGCCCAGGTGCTCGGGAACCTGTTGAACGGAATGTTCGTTTCAGTAGAACTTTAAGTGTTGGAAGACTTCGTGACAGGGTACTTCGTCGATCATCATTATCTGATTTAACGTTTTCTTCTTTGCAACAAGAAGGAGAAATGAGAGATACAGATCAAGGTGATGATACAAGAACAATGGTACCTGAAGGCAATGCTGTAAATTTCGAAAATGGGTCTGGTTATCCTCCATCCAATATGTCTAGTTCATTGTTTAGCATCCAAGACTATGAAGTGGAAACATCAAGACCAAGAGAAGCTAGATATCATGATCTACTTGAACACAGATCAAATTTCCTAGAGCGGAGGAGAAGAATACGATCTCAGGTTTGTATCTGTTTCACACTGTTATTTTTTATGCTTTGGGTGAGATTCTAGAACAATGAATAGCAGTTGACTGATACATCTTTTTCACAGAATCAAATTTTTTTTATTAAATTTGCAACCTTACCCTTATTGCAAATCCAGTTGACCAATACATGAATAGTGGTATAGGGTTGCCAACCAGTTGGCTGCCTTTCTATGGACATTACTATGTCCATTGTTCCTGGTGATTAGTTTGGGTACAACTTGTCCAGAACTCTGCTAAAAGGGACTGCATAAATTTATTCCTTCTAAATAAAACCATCTGTTCTTGAGACATTTTCTCATGCCTTTTACTTTTCAATATAAATTTTATAATTTACTGAACTTCCTTGTGTAACTTATTTGGTTTACTGATGCCCGTGCAAATTTTGTAGGTTCGTGCACTTCAGAGGTTAGGGAGCCGCTTTGAAAATGTGTCTGGACATGAGAGATCTTGTATCTTATCTGGTCAACAGCGAACGGGTCGTTGTACATGTCGTACGAGTAACCGAGATGCCCGTTCAAATGATGACAATAGTGCTAGGGCTAGCATATCAAGAATTGTTATGTTAGCTGAGGCTTTGTTTGAGGTAATGTTGATATGCGATTACCTTTTTGTCGGCCAGTTTCCTTATTAATTATATAAATTGAACCCTTTATATGTAATTTAATTAGGTTCTGGATGAAATTCACCAGCAATCTGTGGTTCTATCCTCTCGACCTTCTGTATCGTCAATTGGATCTGTTCCCGCTCCTACTGAAGTTGTGGAATCTTTGCCCGTCAAATTGTTTTCCAAGTTGCAAAAGCATCAGTATGAGGAGGCTGCACAGTAAGTATCCAAGTCTATCTAATGTTTGACATTCAGTTCACTGTATATCTCTGAAGGAGGTGACTGACCTATTTCAGTATTGTTCCAGATTACAAGAATTAATCTGCCTTGCACTTTTATGATGTTCTCAGCAGCCAGTGGCTTTTCAAAAGTGTCTATTTTACAAGCAATTTCTTTACAGATGCAAAAGAATGTTTAGCTATGGGAAATTGTTCCTTTACTTGCTATAGGCACTGGACAAAATATTAGAGGTTTATGCATAGATTTTGTTGTTTTTTTTTAATTAATAAGAGTTTAAAGCTTATTCCTTTTTAAAAAAAATATAATATATTATTTTCCCAATTCTGGCCATTTTTGGGTACATACTTTTGGCTTTTCATATCATAGTCATCACTTCATGTTGCCACAACATATTAGAGTATTTAAACATAAATTTTCATATTGGTAGTTAATAAGAGAATAAAGTTTACTCCTTGTGAAAAGAAAAAAAATATATATTTTCCCAGTTTGGGCCATTTTAGGTACATGTTTTTGGCTTTTATACGAGTTTATTGTCCTATTACAATGGTTTATACATTTTAGGTTAAGACCATATCTGTATCTTTCTTTATTCAGCTTTAATTTAATAAACATTATTCGTGTTTAGGAATTGGTACTGACAATTTTTTAGTAGCACGTGTAGCATGTGGATGTTATATAAACTTGCATCCTTTGTATTACATTTAGAATTTAATGATTCTTGTTTTGTTGTTGGTACTTTATCTCTCTTGGTAAACAAATGGAAGTGTCTTTAGAAAGACAATTTTTGTGGGCTGACTATAGCATGGTTGCAATGTCTTTATTTTCCAAAACATATTATTTTGGTTGAGAAAAAGATTGTAAGTTACATCTCTTTAATATCACACTATCTTATTATCTTTTGCTTTGCGTATCCTTTAATCTAACAGATGCTACATATGCCTTGTGGAGTACGAAGAAGGAGACATAATGCGAGTACTGCCTTGCCATCATGAATTTCATAAAACTTGTATTGACAAGTGGCTCAAGGAGATTCACAGGTTTGGAATGAACTTGCTTCTTTCAAATCGTCTAATATGACTTATTTAAACACAGGCACATACACTTTATTGACTACAATAAGATAGTATGGTGAGTGTTATTGCAATAAAATTTTATATGTTCTGGCTTGGAAAATTTCAAAATAGTAATCACTGTATAAAATTTGTCCACTGGCTGTTTGCTTGTTTAGTAGCACTCGTATGGTAGTTGGCACTTGGTGATCCTGAAACATGCTAGTACCAGTGACATAAACTTGAAGTTGGAAAATGGTGGTTCATAATAAGTTGGAATTAAACCAGACAGATGTATGACTGCATATCGTGCCTAAGAGGTTTAGCTCAACTGTCAATGGGGAGGGTGGGCAAATGTTTAGGTCCTAGGTTCAAGTCTCAATGTAATAAAAGAAATTGCATAGTTATAAATTCATTTCCGTTGCTAGAATGGAATTTATTATTATTATTTTCAATGTGATCACCTGACCAGTAACTTTCCAATTTTGTCTTCCGCTAAATAGTGATCTATTCCACCTTATCCCCCCTTAACTGTGCATGTTTTTTGGCTCGTTCATGCGGTGTAAAAAAATAGTTTCCTTTTTCAACACAGCTATATTTCGGGAATTTTTATGAACTTTATGTTGTGTTGTTTTGTAGTATGGATTTATTTATTAATAGGAACTTTTGAATGAAGTTAAATTTGTCTTGTTCCAGGTATAGGAAATATTAGTATTTTTCTTTTTGAAAGTTTATTCTTAATTGTAATATTTACCTCTTTTTAAAGTCTATGTATAGTTTCAACAAGTATATTCTTTGCCAGCAGAATGTTTACTAGAACAGATTTCATATGTGTACATGCACTTGTACCATCGAATTTTACATATTGCTTTTTTCTCTTAGTGTCACATAGGAGTTTGCACTTCTTTAATACGTATTACCTAGATGCTACTTATGGGATGCCTCACCCAAATCATAATTTGGAATGTCATGTTGCCTGAACAGCTTGTCATTGGGGGAAATATTATTTTAAGGAGCAATGAAACTCAATTGGATTGTGCTCCCTTGGTGCTCTTTTAAAATAAACCTTTTTTCTGTATACTAAAATAATTAAATAGTGAAAGGCTATTTGAGATTTGAGCTTTGAAGTATACAGTATACTTCATTAAATGAATAGAAGGAAAGTACTGGTGGTGAGTATCAGCAAGGACATGGTTATGACATCATTTTCACTGCTGGGAATTCTCAGCGTGCACATTCTCTATCATCTATAGCAAACTGGCAACAGCTATAAGTCTTCAACATTCTCAACATCTCTTTCTTCTTTCCTTTCTACTATTAATTGGTTTTTCACTTTCATATGTTTATTTTATAATTGACAAGAAGTTCTTGCCTTGATTTACTTCTCCATTTCCCTCTCTGAGCTCTACTTGAACCCGTCACTCAAATCTTTTTGTCCGAAACTCAAGTACTGTGTATCTCACTGCCACTGCTTGTCAGGTTGTTTATCGCAACTAATGCAACACTTAGCTCCATTGTTTTAGCTCCATTGTTTCCCCAATAAATATCAAATCCTCTCAATTCTTTCTTGTCAAGGCTCATACTCGTCGCAGCAGCCAGTTTTCCTTTTTGGCCTGACAATAATGTAAACTCTTCCAAAGGATGCGTCAGGATTGTATTCTATTTCTACAATGGATGTTGTTATACACCGTTGCTATTATTCAGACAATCCATTCATTTTGTCCGGCCACCCCTCTAACTAATATGGCTACTAAGTAATAAGCTAACTGATCTAACTAATTTAACCATGACAGCAAAAGCTCAAGTCATGAAAATGCTAATTTCTTTATGCCTGAAATATCAATGCCTCTTGTTGTTGACATTTTAGGTTTGTATTAATATTTTGGTGCTACTTATACTGGAAATTGCTAATGTGTATCTGGTATGCAGGGTATGCCCACTCTGTCGCAGGGATATCTGTAGATCCGATGTGTTGCCTGCAGAGAACTAAGGTAGTGGTTTTTCACTCTTCTTCTCGGTGAATGGACAATTGAGGAGTGAAGCTTTCCGCGGAGGCAGTGTTTTCGTGTATCATTTTTTAGGAAGTTCAGTCCTTATCTGCTTGTATCATCGTTGCTGCCCGCCATTAATTGTTCTCATTGTCAAATGTAATACTGAACGTTAGTAGAAACGAACTGAACTACTTGCAATCAGCAACACCTCCAGCCAGAGGGCAAGGGAACTGGAAGGGGAGAGAGAGAGAGAGAGCTGTTTCCTTTCACGGATGAATTCTGTTAATATGCTTAGTCAGAGGCCCCATTGTTGTATCCGAAATTCTGTGCATTCCCGCTGTTTCCTGATTTTGTTAAGGTTAAGTTTTATAGTAGACACAGATATCACATTCTCATTAAGTTTGAGGTCACTTGAAATGTGCTTCCTATTTTTGAACTTTGATCAACGTTCTCCCTTTACTACAAGACTTTACTACAAGAATTTCTATAGTGTGGGCCTTATATATGACCCTTAGGTGAGGCCCTATCTCTTAACTATTGGATCAAATTAGTTAGTCGTCATACGTTGGGTCATCTAACATGTAAGCCTTTTACATAATGTCAAATAAGCCCCGAGCCACAAATGTTAGTGAAATGTCAAACAAAAAGGGATTTTTGTAAACATGTCACCTGAACTTATACATCAATTTTAATTTGTCACTTTAAAAAAAATTTAAGAGAAATGTTACCTTAATTTTTCAAAATCCATGATTTGTCATTTGACTTTAACATCATCCAATTTTCTATCTATTTTTAACAGTCTCGTTCTCCTGGCCACCAAGGGTCTAAGGAATTTGTGGTCACCCACCCTTAGATCTAGGGTGGAGAAAAAACTGATTTAAAATTTCATATTATATTACTTTTACTTAAATCAAACAAGTTTTTGTGGAAACAAAATACATTCTAAACTCTTGCACAGCCGCCTCCAACTCTATGGAGGTCGACGCCCCTATAACCTTCAATCCCTCCTCATGGTCCTCTTCAGCTTTTCCAACTCCGGCGTTGCGAATTCTTCCAATTTAATTTTTCATCTCTTGTGGATAGACAAAGACTGAAGATTTTGGGAAAACTTAAATTTGGGGCTCTTTGAATTCTTTGGTTTCTACCATTGTTTTTCATTCTCCTTTTGGTATATTGTTGAGAAGTTGATATTGGTTGGTTGATGATTCAATGGTGTATTGGTATGTTTGGAGGCAGGCAGTGGCTAGCTTACTGGAGAACGTGTTTTGTTCAGTCGACAACTGTTTTGTTTGTTTTTGGAGAACGTGTTTTGTTCAGTCGACAACTGTTTTGTTTGTTTTTTTGTTTTTTTTTACACAAATTTTTTTTTTTTGTTTAATTGAAAATAATTTAAACTAAACTTATATGGATTTTTAAATCAATTTTTTCTCCACCTTTAGATTAGATCTAAGGGTGGGTGACTACAAATTTCTTGGACCACTGGTGACCAAGAGAACGGGAATGCAATTTTTTAAAGGTATTTTAGTCTTTTCTATTTTCAAGGGTATTTTAAAAATTGAGAATTCATTGTAAAAAAAAAATTAGACATGGTCAGATAGAGAGAAGAGGAGGGAGGGGGGGTCCTGTCTTGTGCGATGTGTTTTGGGGGCGGGTGGGGTTGGGGGTTGAGAGAGAGTGAGAGAGAAGTCTCTTTTTCTCTTTTGTTTCCTTGAAAATGAAAAGACTAAAACACCCTTAAAAATGGATGGAAAATTGGATGGTGTTTAAGTCAAATGACAAATCATGGATTTTGAAAAATTAAGGTGATATTTAGGATTAAATTTTTCTTTAAGGTGACAAATTAAAATTGAGATATAAGTTTAGGTGACATTTCGACAATTATCCCCAAACAAAAAATGTTGGTTTCACTTTTGCAATTTCAACCAAACTTGTGACCTTTTATAACAAACTTGTTAATAGCTAGATGGTAAGCATTTGAAGATTGAAAGGAGTAGAATAAGCCACAATTTTATTCATTGCTATTTGATTACGAGAATTCTAGTGCCATTAAGCGGTGTGAATAAAAGACCAAATCCTAATCATGCAGTTTCACATATAAAATCTTTCTCCTCTCACAACGAGTTTTTTTTTTATATATCAAAAATAGCCAAAATTTACCTTTTACTTTCAAAAATGTTAGTTTTTATAAAATCTTTCAAATATAGCCGCGCCTCCAATTCTTCCATCGCCATCGCCATTGCCATCGCCGCTCCACTTCCTCCTCTCACAGCCTCTCGCCATCGCCGTCGCAGTCGCCGTCGCCTCTGTCTCAATTTCAGGTAAGTTCTATCTCGTCTCATCTCAGCTCAATTCGATACCCAGCCTCTGCCTCTAACTATCTCTCATATCCATCCTCTCTCAGCTCTATCTCAGAGGGAGAGCAGTTCACTCTCTCTTTGATAAGAGTCTCTTCCTTATGATTTTTGAAGATGTAATTACGGTTCTGTGTGGAATGAAATCGGGTTTGTGAATTAGGGTTCTCTCTCGATAGCCTGAATTTGTTGGGCAGAGCAGATAAAAAATATAGATAAATGTTATACTTCTATTCCACTGAAAAAAGTTTCGAGTGATTACGGCAGAGCAGGCCTCATAAGTGGCAGCTATAATTGTTTTCTTGCTTGTCCAAACCCTAACAAAATCCAGACTTTGAATTTCTATCACAGTGGAATACTATTTCAAACCTGTAGAAATGTTAACAAAAGATATCATAAAAGCAACCATAACAATACGTAAAAGAAGAGAGAATCCCAATTTCTATCACAGTGCATGCGCATATATATCACAAAAAAAGTTTTTTTCGAATGCTTGAAGAATCCCAATTAGCCTTCTGTTCTGTGTATAGTGGCATCTGCAAGTAGATGAATTGTTAGAAGGGATGCATGCTTTACTAAAGTAAAAATTGGTAAAAAGCAAAGAAAGATTTCAAGAAACATTGTGTGTGTATATATATATATATGAAGATTGCTAAATGATTGACCACTTTTATTCATTAATTTTTTTTAGTTTCCTTTTTTTTTTCTTTTTTTTTCTTTTCCTGTTTTTTAGTTTAGGGGCTGTTTTTAATTTTTCCTTTCAGTTTCTAGTATGGATGTGTTTCCCTCTTTTCGGCCGGTAAGCCAATGGAAGGAGTTTTTGGTCATTCTTCTCTTGAGATGCGTAGGCGTGCCACCACCAAACCACTTGATGGCTTGGATGGAGAGATCGTGTGAGTGTGTTTGCGCTTCTGACTTCTTAATCAAACGATTGATCGACCAAGCAAGGAACCTCCTCTTGGCCTAGGTTCTTTTTCTTCCTTGAGGTCAAGGATGATTGAGCTTTGTATGACTATTTT